CAGTGCGTGACTACAGATCACTGGCCAATAATAAAGAACAGACCGTGCAATCATTTTAAAGGAGTCGTTACCGACCAAGCAGAACAGAGCACATATTTGAAGTATTCCCTGGTAGTCCGCTGTTAAAAACGAAGTGACGTAAGGGCTTTGAGGGTCTGTTTTATACAATGGAACTTGAAAGTTATCCTAAAAAAGACCAACAACAGCCTGAGTGTGATAATGGTGTTCTCTGTTTTGGCGACGCCTCAGGGGCGGAGCCGTTGGTATAGTACTGCGATTGAGTTGAAAATATTCTGAATTCCACCAATGCATTCCCCAGGGAATTGCTTTTTGGCAATACCTTGTAGGACTTATTCTCCAAGCAGAGGTTGGAGGGGAAGATCGTAACCCCCGTTAACGATCATCCCCACCAACCTCTGCTTGGAGAGTAGTGGGACCAGCCTTTGCACATAGGCTTGTGGCATGAGACATGCAGTAGTCTGTACAGTGTTTCTAAGATACATGTACTTCAAAAAAGTTCTCTAGATTTAATGACGACCAAGATGCATCAGCTGTTTGTCGATACAGGCTTCTGCAGCGTCAGCCAAAAGTTTCCCTTATATTGGGCATGTTAAACCTTCAAGTCAGATTGATTGCTGGGAATTTTTTTAAACTTAACTATGGGATGATAGTGATGTTTTGTGTAAGGGATTTTATTCATTTGTGGGAGTGTTGCTTTTTTTATTGTTGGATTCTTCTTTTGTTTTTGCTTCCACGATGCTGCTGCATTCAATGCTTGTTTTTCTTGCGTGAAAAACTTGCATGCACATCCCGATCCTTCCACAACTTGGCTTCGTGAATTCCTGCTGTAGTCTGCATCTCAGAATGGACTTGGCGAAGTTTACCTATGGTCAGCAAGAGATGAGAAAAGACCATAGATTAATCTATGTCAACTTTTCCCTAGCTATGATCTTAAATTAACAAGATTTAGGGTCATGTTTCTAGACATAAATGTAAATATGCAAAGCATGTGAGTCAATAAATTTTACAGTATGCAATGATGCGCACATCAAACTAAACAAACGCTGAAAGTCATATGTATGTTCATTCATCAAGCAAGAGCGATGTTACAATGACACATGAACTACATGCTGCCCAGATCAACAGAAACAACACATATATTGTGTGGACTTACCGCTGGTTTAGCCCTTCTGTAAACGGTACTGCTAGTCCATCTTGTCAGTGAATGTCGAGTGAATGAGGGGCACTCGCTGCGGGCACACAGAGAGAAAGAGAATGAATAAATTGAAGCCATTTCTGCCTTTCAAGAGACTCAAGATGAACACCGATTGGAATATCTGCCGGTAGATATTCTGATCGGAGTCTCAGCTGTTACAATCATTACATTTTACTGTACAGCATTACATGCTATTTAGATTTTATGACAATCACAGACTATTTAAATTATACCGGCAGCTACTAGCAATTTCATTGAATGTTTAACATTTAGGATATGTTATTATATCATAGCAATAGACTTCTTCCAGATTGGAGTTTCTACCCAGCCTCAGGTATTGTTGTTAAGAATTTGACCTGAGAAAAGGCTGCAGGACTCAGGGCCTGATGTAGGATGGGAAACGTTGTTGATGTAATATTCAATCTGGACAGGTAAGTCTTATCAGAGGGGATAGGAAATTACTTGTAGGTAAGGGCGGAAAATCCTGGAGGAACATGTAAGGTGGTTAAAACTTTACGTAAACAAAATGCCGACGCCCTCTTACATGACGAAAGATAACAGGTGTTTGTCCATCTCACGAGTGAATTCCTTCTGTAGCCCGGGAGTGGGTATGGGCATGGCGTAGCTCACCTGCGGGGACAAAGAGAGAAAAAGACATGAATAAATTGAAGCCCTTCCCAGAGAAACAAATAGGTTTGGCTTCCATTTGCAAATATATGTCATGACAGACACCCCGGAAACTCACGGTGGAACATATCACGTTGCTGTAACTTTACATGAACAAAATTCTGAGGTACACTCAAATGATGAAGGATAACAGGTGTGGTAAAGCATTGTAAAAATACGTACTTGCTTAGTGCCCATCAATATGTCATAATGATCAATTGGATCAGTAATAACATTGAAAGTAGGCTGCTTGGGCGACGGCGTATGCCGACACAAAAGCATATAAGGGGGCACGCCCCAGTTTATTTTGGGTCACAATTCGATTCTGCACACCCTCAACTCTATTTCAGAAATGATTATTAAGCCTAAACACTGTTTGCAAATGAAGGATATCCCTCTAGCTACTAGAATAATAACCTCTAGTTTCCATAACCTCTCAAATTGTAGCAAATTTTTTCATGCCAAAAATTGGGCATTTTTACGTGCGATTAAACCCATCACCAATAATTTAGCCACCAAAATGACTTATACTGTCGACAGAGAATGTATTATCAAGAAAAGGATAAAGAAAATCCTAACACTGAGATTATCACAATAGCCCGTCGCGCGAGGCATAGCGACAGCACCCCCAGAACGTATACAAGGCATATCGAGGTCAGACTGAAGCACCGCACTCAGAGCGAAAGGACAACCGGAAGTAAGCGTCGGGCCGAAAATCAATTTTCAACCCAAAGACGTCGACGCCACTTTTTACACTTTCCAGCAACGTTAGTTGTTTAAACTACTAAGATTTTAACTATTAAATACCATTTTGCAGCAGATTATTAGAAATGTGACCATCGAAACCCCTTCGTCACTTTTTTTTACCGCGCACTACCACGTTACAATTCAAAACTAGTTGACACAATGAGACGCGGTTAACGAAACGCTTACTGACCGAATTAATAAATACAGCGCTAACTAAAATAGAAAACAACAACTGCTATGTGGGGACCAGTGTAGAGAGGGGAAGTACAAGTACACTGTAGTTACCTCTTACAATACTGCAACTGATATACATGGCATTGCATATGCAAACACAACGCGTTTACAAACAAACAGGTAATACATAAT